GCTTCTGCAAGAATTTTCCAAAAGTTAAAGGGTTGTAAAATCCTTGTAATAACCAGGGTCTGGGGTGTTCATTATTACACAGGTTTATGGAACACTGCATCCAGCATCAATTTCTTTGAGCTGGGTACATATGTAATGTAAAGTCAAAGCAAGAGAAAAAAATGACTCCATCTTCTTGCCTCAGATATAATGACTTAGTCTACTGTAGCATTTCCAGATTCTTATGGTTGATATTGACCAACACACCCCTTCTAAGAAATGTCTCTATTGGTCAAAAGTTGTTTTAATTTCTAACAGTTCTTTATTTAAAATATCATATTTTCTTTATGGGGAAGGGATGCTCTGCAGTAAAATGCACAAGGAAAAAGATGGTTTCCCCTCTGGGGTCTCCTGTAAGAGTACTGTTCCTGTAGCCATATTGGAAACGCAAAACTAGACATTAATCTTGAATGGATTGGGGTTTTGAAGAAGGGGCTGTGGTAATTGTTTGACTCCTCAAGTGCCACCTGCTCTGTGCTTGTCCAAGCAAATAGAATCTCTTTTTTTAACAGTTGAGTTAGAGGTTTAACTTTATGTGCAAAGGTAGGAATAAACTTTGTGTAAAAGTTTGCAAAGCCTTAAAAACTCAGAGCATCCTTTGTATTTTTGGGAGCCTGCAATGAGAACACTCTGTGCACTTTCTGGGGATCTATTTGGACTCCATCTATGAAAATGCAATAACCCAAGAAATCTAACTGTTGCAAATACTGTGTGATCTATTTGGTCCCAGGGATTAAAATCCCAGCAAAGAGGCGATATCGCATGGCAGCTAAGGTGCTGTTAATTTTGAAGCAATATTTCAATTCTAATCTGCGAAAAGGTTTTATTAGACTCCTAAAGTCACCAGCTTCAGCACCTATCCTCTTTGTCCATAAGAAGCAAGATCCTGGTTCCCCAAACCCAATCAGTGAGATCCCAATGAGGACCGTTCACAACTACAAAGTGCTTAATGTCATAACAATGAGAGAGTATTATCCAGTACCAGTAATATTGGACTTATTGGATAGGTTGCAAAGTGTGCATATATTTACCAAGTTGATCCTTCAAAATGTATATAATCCCATCAGAATTGAGGAAGGGTATGAAGTTTTTGACAGCATTTGACAAATTCAAATACACCATTGGGGTTAGTAAATTATGGTGCTGTATTTTATATATATATATATTTATTGCACGGTTTATTGCACAATCCCAATATGATTAGGATGTGAAGATGGTGCATACATGATAAAAGTAGGAAACTGTTCTGTATGCTTTGCAATTAATAGTTGTAGCTTGTGTAATTGGACTTGTTTTTAAGGGCTAACCATCTATTGTTTCTACTTGCACAGGAATAGTAAGCCTTACGGAATCTGCAATGCTTCAAAACTTTCTAATTCTATGAAATCAGCAAAGCGGTTGCTCCAGAGTCCACTGAAGGCTTGAGCATTTATTTTTGTCTATTGGGTAAAGTCAGAGTAACAGAAATTTTCAGCAGTGTACCTTGATTCAGATGGAATGAAGCCTATTTAGTGGTTGAATAGCTCCTCCTGTGAACTCTTTCAAGAGGTGCTGCTGTCTTTTCCCTAGGCCTCTACTTTGCACTCGGTATGGTGGTTCTCCTGTATACCCAGGGGGGAATTTTGGCCTGGCAAACTCTCTGCAGAAAAAAAGCAAAGTACTCATTCTTTGTCAGCACCTGCCATCCCTAATTTGGATGGATTCCTCCTCCCCCAACTCAGTCTCAGCCATCATGAATGGGGAGAAGGCGCAATAGTGAGACTTTGAGCTTGCTTCTTTCTGTTGCCCAGACTGGCATTGATTTCTCCCACACAGGAGTCGAGGATCATGTAAACCTGATCTAAGTTCTGGGGAACTCCTTTTAGTGTTTAGCTCTCATCTAAACTGACCAGTCAGGCTGCTTTGTTCCAATTCAGGTTTCAAAGGTGCTTTTTTCAAAAAGCAGTTGGCTGTTTTTTTTTCCTTGCGGAAGAAGAATAAAATGTTTTGCTTTTCATCCAAGAAGCTTCGTCGGTTGTGATGGTGGGGGAATGGAAGAATGGGCACTGACCAGTTGAGACTGGATGGTCCTGAGATACTATAATCTTGATAGCATAATCAAGGTTAAATGCCATTTTGGATGGAGCACTAACCTCAGCAAGAAAATTTCTACTTTTTAAAATAACCCATATATTTTGCGTCAAAGGCATTTTGTATTGCAATTTAATTCCAATGTGTATACGTTAGTTCAATCAATAAAGTGCTCCCAAATAAGTACTACTTATCACCCCTGGGGAAACAATACAAGGAAAAAATGATAAGACCAAAACTGTAGTAATAAAATACTAGTCTGAGAAAGCTGCAGAGAGAGAAAAGGACAGATTCTTTGATTTAGTTATTGAGCTAATCCTGATCCTAATACAAGAAATTAAAGACTAAGAAATCATCTTTTCATAGGGATCAATGTATAGAACTTGGTCTCAGTTTAACTTTAAAAAATGAGAGGTTTTGGGAAATGTCCTGGAAGCTGCTTTTGCAAAATGTTGCATTGATTATTGGTGGACTTTTGGGCCCAATTCATACAGCAGGTCATTATCTTTAAAACCCCAAATGGTATTGCAGCAAGATATTTCAAGCAATGTTTTGCAAGAATTGAGTCTTCCTGTCTGAAAGGAATCCTAATGAAAGTTTCCTCCCTCCTAAGATTCATGAACTGTAAAATGCCATGACTTCTCTTGAATAGCTTCACCTTATGAAATGTTCTGTAAACAAATTAAAGCTATTTTATCTCCTTGAACTTTTGGTATCATCTGACTGATTATAAGCACCTATTAAAGATTTCAGTTTTTGGTTTTGTTTTGTTTTTATCTTGATTTGAATATAACTTTTTAACTTTTCTGTTGAGCAGAATAGAATAGAATAGAATAGAATAGAATAGAATAGAATAGAATAGAATAGAATAGAATAGAATAGAATTTTATTGTCAGTTTAAATGTACACTAATCAGCATACATTAAAATGAAATTTCATTGCATTCAGCTCTCAAAAGATAACCATTCTGCATATACCCACATGCACACGTACATATGACATAAAGAAACATTACAATCTAGTTCAAATGTATACATGTACATGATGAAAGAAAAAGAATCCTGCAAGTTTACAAGAAGGATGGCATAAGGAACAAAATTGTTGATGTGATACATCATACAGAGTCTTGGAACTGGAGCAAGTTGTAAGTATTGTAAATTAAAATAAAATAATTTGACATTATTATAAGCAGAAAATGATTTGTTTTCAGTGCTCCTAAATTTCTGTGGTTGAGCAGGCATTGCCCCTTAATTTATGGCTGAATTTGTGAGAAAGCAACTTCTACCCTCCACTTCTGGTCTATTTGGTTAGATTTACATGCTATGATTAGGTAATAAAAGTAGTCTGTATACTCAGTTCATATTAGAGCATTAAAGCATAAATGAAATAGCATTTGGTGTTTCTTGTTCCCTGCAGTGTTTGGTATCTTCTTTGTAGGTAGTAGCGGTCCTTTGGAACCAGATTTCCCCAAAAGATCTGGATGGCCCCCATTCTTTTGTTCCTTTAAACAGCCATCCTCAACCTTTCCAGCTTGGCAGACCAGCACGGGGGGGGGGGGGGGATTGTTCTGTGTGAGTGGCAGGTGCATGCACTTTTGCACACAGCTCCATTTGCACAAACATCAGGCACATGCACCCTCCACTTACACAAATAGAGATTTATGCAATCACGGGTGCACCCACCACTTGTGCTGTTTGATGGCCTGGTTCCGAATGGGCCACAGCCCAGTACCGGGCCATGGCTCAGGGATTGGGGACCCCTGGTTTAGATGATCTATAAAGATCTGGCTCTTCACCCAAGCCTTTGCCAGGGAATATACATTTAATGTATTGTTATTATTTTGAAAAGTTACATTTAAACTAAAAAACAATATGATTATTTTACCATTGTATAAATGACTATATACTTATAAAAAAGAAAACTAACCTATTATATAAAGTAACTACTTACTGAGAGAGGAAAGAAAATACAAATAATATCAAGGAAAAAAAAAACTGGGAGGAGGGGACCTAAAACTTTGGCAAATCTAAAAAAAACCTCATAAAATACAAAAAATAAACTACACATAACTCAGAGAAAAAAAATCTGAAACTTACATCTCTCTTTAGATTTATATATACATTTGTTTATAAAATTAAAGTGAAATCATTTTTCAGGCTATTAAAATTATGTTTTTCTTCAATTGCAATATTATGATTTAATAATTTATATGAATAAGTGGTGAATTAAATCTAGGCCATATAAAAACATATTGATTCTCTTTTCCTTCTTGCTGCTCCTTCAGTAAAAAGTTAATTTCAAGATTGAAAGTTGTCAAATGTTGTTAGGCCAATTATTACTAATATTCTATAAATACATGAAGTTTTTGTTCAATACTCCAAATTATGAACTTTTTCACAGATTGTAATATTCAATTTTTTTGATGTAATATTAATATTGGAAAGTAGTGTTTTGTGTCTTTGCTTCTATACCTAGAACTAGATAAAATATTTTCAAGAAAAGACAGGTGTTTATAGTACTGAAGAGGAAGCAATATGGGTAGTCCTTGAGTTATAACTGTAATGGAGTCTGCCCATTGAGTGTGGTTATAAGTTGTAAAATGGGCCAGTCACTGGATCAATCTGGTTTTACATTTTTGTACCTGTTAAGTGGACTCGGTGGTCATTAAGCAAACACTGTAGTCATTAAGAGAAACTATGGTTTGCTATAGTACAATTTTGCCAAACTGGAAGTGGGTGCCGTTTTTTGGCAAAAGTGTTGCAAAACAGGTCACGTGACCATGGGATGTTGCAAATGGCCCATCCCATAATATACAAAACAAAGTGGGGGTAGGAAACTTTTCTTTCCAAAAATAGATCAGTCATTGCAAATCCTTCCTTTTATTGTTTCAGATGAACAGGAGGCTTTGAATTCTATCATGAAGGACTTGGTTGCCCTCCAAATGAGCCGGCGTCCCAGACTGTCTGGTTTTGATAGCATGAAGAACAAAGATTCTCCACATTCCAATAGACAGGTAATACATTCCTGATAAGTAGAATCTTGTTTATCATACGTACGTTTGGCTGGTAGAAACATTGCTCAGGAATTAACTCCTCTAGTCACATTACCTTTCTGCAGCTAGACCCAGAGTTCTTAGCAACCTCAGTAACATATTTTACTCTGTCCCAATGCCTTGGAGAACCCAAAGATTCTATCATACATTGTCAGTTTGGAGACGATGGGATTGTGTTATCAAAGATAATTCAAGAAAGCTGGATAGTATTAGCATGTACTATGGTCAAGTTATAGCTGTGCCGTTTGTGTTCTGATGTCCTGATCTTTTCAAAATTCTCCAATAAATTCTATATTGAGAGCTCTACAAAGCTCAAGAAATTGGGAATATCGTCAGGATGGGAAATATTCCAGATATTAATTACTCCATTCTTCCCACGAATATCTCCACAGACACACAAATATCTTCCATTCCTCTCTCTCTCTCTCTGTGCTCAGATACTCCCTACTAGTATACCTTTAAGGTTGTTTCACAAATATATTCCATCCATTCTATACACTCGCCCCTACATTTCTCATTCATGTATACAACTTTGACTTTTTATCTTCCAAATAAATAATTGAGTTTTTTTTCCCCTTCTTTAAGAAAAAACACAGTGCCAGCAACCCAGGTCTCCTCAACAACCTTATGATAAGAAAACAAAATAGTCTTGCAGTAGAGGAAAAAAAGTCACAGGTAAAAATGCTTTCTAATGTTCACTGTTTAGGCAGCAGTATAGATTTTACAATAGTGCAAATAGCATTAATTTGAAAGAACTAAAATGAAAAGCAGCATTTTCCCAAATTTCTCCAAATAGAAAAGCATACCTTAGTTTCAGATCTTTTGTTATATCCAGAAGTAAACATGTGAGATACTCTGAAAGAAAATCCAGGACTGTGTTTTTATAGAACTAATTGTTAAAGGTAGAATGCAGGGTTTTATTCATTCATTCAATTTATGTGGCTGCCCATCACACTTCAGGAATTCTGGTCAGCTAACATCATAATATTATATAACATCAAAAATTAATGACAGTCAGGGTACAAAACATATTTGATACGTATGGAACAATAACAGATTCCAACTAACAGTCTGACTCTAATGCCTGAGAACACATCCATGTCTTCAAGGTTTTCTGAATAACAGGAGGGCTAGGACCGTGACACAAAAGGCTGCTTTCTGGATCTCCACAAGGTGATACTCTTTAATTCACAGGCTAGTACTATGCCTCTCTTAGATCTGCAGGATAGTTAGAAACAAAAGAGATCCCACAAATAACCTGGACCTATGCCATGACAGGCTTTATAGGGGACAGACAGACTCCTGGATTGCACCTTGAAACACATTTGAAGCCAGTATAGCTAATTATAAAAGTATAACCTGAGTGCACCACAGTGTATAACTGCCAGCATTGCTGCATTGAGAACTAGTTATAGCTTTTGGATACTGTTTAAGAGCAGCTCCACCTAGAGCACATTGTAGAATAGCACAGTGGTTAGAATGCAGCATTGCAGGCTGATTGCAGGCTATTTCTGCTGATTGTCAGAGTTTGATTCTCACCAGGTCATGGTTGACTCCGCCTTCCATCCTTCCAAGGTCAGTAAAATGAGGACCCAGATTGTTGGGGGCAATATCCTGATTCTAAAACTCTTAAAGTAGAGGTCATCAACTGGTAGTCTGTGGACTACTGGTGGCCTGCAAGAAAATTTTGGTGGTCCACAGTGCACCCAGGTGGAGGAGCTGCTTTGGGATGTCCAATGGGCCAGTCCTGTGACTGAAGCTCTGGAATATGGGACTGGCCAGGCAGCCCATAGAGCAGTGATCCCCAACCTTTTTGACGCCGCGGCCCGGTACCGGCATCAACTGGGCGCCGCCATCTTTTTTCGTCAAAAAAGATGGCGGCGCCATGTTTTTTTGATGAAAAAGTGCTTCCGGTGAGCTTTCTACCCGGAAAAGCTCACCGGAAGCACTTTTTTACCAAAAAAAGATGGCGGTGCCCAGCAACCAGCGGCCCGGTAAGACTTGTTCCGCGGACCAGTACCGGTCCGCGGACCGGCGGTTGGGGACCCCTGCCATAGAGGGCTGGAAGCCTCTGCTGTAGAGGGAGGTACGTGTAACTTGCAACCTTGCAGGAGGTGCAACATGCAAGGAGTAGCACAGCCCTTGCCGGCTGGAATGAGGTAATGGTGCTGTTGCGGCAAGGGGGGTAGCAGTGCTGGTGGTCTGAAGCAACGGGTGGCGGCAACCCATGGCTCTTTTGTCCCCCTGCTGTGGCTTCCTGTCGGCTGAACCTAACACTGGCTGGCCTGACCCCTCACCCTCTCCTCCCAGTCACTCCTCGCCTGGCCTAAGAAGAGAAGCGCAGGGGATGCAGACTCACTCCATATTCCAGAGCAGGAGTGAAGCTTCATCTCTTGTTGGATTTCGCGGGTGTTTCTTCCAGCTGTTTTTGGTGCTGCACATACCTTGCCGACCCAGCCATTTCTCTCTGCCACTGCTGTTGGCGCCTCCATGTCCTGCTCACTGCTCACATTAGTGCGCTTCACAATGGGGGAGATGGTGTCCCCTTCTCCTCCTGGAGCCCATTAGGACATGGAGCATTGGCTGTAGCTGCGTCGGGTGAATGTCCCAGGGCAGAGAGCAGGCCATGCATCTCCCCAAGCGATCGAGGTGCGTCCAGCACCAACAAAGGCCAAAGAAGTGCCCACGAGACGCAGAGAGCGCCGGAGAATCAAAATGAAAGAGAGATGAGAGAAAGAGAGATACAGACAGAGAAAGAGAGGGGGGGAGAGATGAGAGAGAGAGAAAGAGAGAGAGAGAGAGAGAGAGAGAGAGGCTGAGAGAGAGAGAGAGA